TGGTGGCGGCGGCTTCAAGATGGGCTGGGCGGCGGCGGCGGCACGCTGGCGGCGGCTTCAAGATGGGCGGCAACAACAACGCCGGCGGTGGTGGTGGCTTCAAGATGGGCGGCAACAACAACGCTGGCGGCGGTGGTTTCAAGATGGGCGGCAACAACAATGCTGGCGGTGGTGGCGGCTTCAAGATGGGCGGCAACAACAATGCTGGCGGTGGTGGCGGCTTCAAGATGGGCGGCAACAACAACGCCGGCGGCGGTGGTGGCTTCAAGATGGGCGGCAACAACAACGCTGGCGGCGGTGGCTTCAAGATGGGCGGCAACAACAATGCTGGTGGTGGTGGTGGCTTCAAGATGGGCGGCGGCAACGCTGGCGGCGGCGGTGGCTTCAAAATGGGCGGCGGCAACACTGGCAACAACAACGCTGGTGGCGGCGGCGGCTTCAAGATGGGCGGCGGTAACTCTGGCAACAACAACGCTGGTGGCGGTGGCGGCTTCAAGATGGGTGGCGGCGGCAACGGATCTGGTGGTGTGTTCAACAGCCAAAACCAGGTCGCTCAGGTCCAGGCGCAGGCGCAGGCGCAGATGACCAAGCTCCAGGCACAGCAAAACCAGAACGCACAGGGCCAGAACGCGCAAGGCCAGGGCCAAGGCCAGGATGGCGGAGAGCAAAAGCCGGCCGAGGGGCTCGGAGAGGCACGGTCGGCGTACGGACCCGACGTGTTCTCGGTTATCCAGTCGCTGCCGGCGCTGCCTGCCGCGCAGCCCAAGACACCGGTGGCGCACCGGCACCGCAAGACGCCGCGGTCGGCAGCGCGGATTCGTCCGCGCGGATACGCGCCGCCGGCCCAGACATCGGCGCCAGTCCCGCTGCGGACGCCACGGTCAGCGCGGACCCGGGCATCGCAGCTGGAAATCAGCAACTTGCAGGCGGTGCAGACGCCGATGGGCGGAGTCTCGGGAGCCAGCCGTGACGGCGGCGAGGAGTTCTCGATGTTCGACATGTTTGTCTCGCGAGCGCTGGTTGACGAGGAGCGGCGGTCGCGGCGGAGTGCGCGGTCGTCAGCAGCATCGTCGGCAGCCACGTCGGGCAGAACAACGCCAGCTGTTGCGCACCACCACGAGCTGGCCGACGTCGCGGTGGTTGTCACGCCGCAGCTCGACAGGCTGCGGATCTCGGGAGAGATGGAGGTTGCGCCGTCTCCAGCCGCAGAGAAGCGCCAGCCGCTGCAAACGCTGTCGTCGAACCCAAGCCAGGCGGGCAGCAGCGGCAACAAGGCCGGCAGCAGCGCGGCGCAGGCGCGCAAGGCCGACGGCTCGGTCCTCACCAACCTCGTCTCGTCGGTCTCGTCGCTGTTTGGCGCCACGGGCGGCTCGCCACACGGCAGTTCCACAGTGCCGCGGCTCTCTAAGCCCGGCTACTTTACCGAGCCGTCGATGGCAGAGCTCGCGCGCATGACCGAGGACCAGCTGCGGGCGGTGCCGAACTTTGTCATCGGCTGCAAGGGTCTCGGCTCGATCCGGTTCGCCGGCACCACCGACGTCGTTGGCCTCGACCTCGACTCGCTCGTCGAGTTTGAAAACTCTGCTGTCACCGTGTACCCGGACGGCGTAGTCAAGCACCAGCACGGCGAGAAGCTCAACAAGCCCGCCGAGGTTCGGCTCCACTCATACCCCAAGTCCAAGGCCAAGTCGCGGAGCAAGAGCCGGACGAGCGCAGGCGTGTCCAGCAAGCGCATTGCCAAGCATCGCGAGCGGCTCCGCAAGGCCACTGAGCGCGCCGGTGCCGAGTTTATCTCCTATGACGCTGATGACCGCAAGCCCGAGGGGCTCTGGGTCTTCCGCGTCGACAGCTTTGACTCGTAAACTACAAACGAACAAAGCGGGCGATGGATGAGGGCCGAGCCGGCAAAGCTCAACGTTTAAGACTCCCCACTCAGAGAGGTGGCCTCCGACGAGAGCTCGCCGTCGTCGCGCGAGAGCCGAGAAACCCGCGACATTTGCGAGTCGTCGTCGGAGCCCGAGACAGAGGTTGGCGCACCAGCGCACACAACCTCATCATCATAGTCATAGTCGGACGACTCTGAGTTGACGCCGGCCTCCACCCGAGCCTTGTACTGCGAGTGGAGATCAGCCATCGAGACAAAGGTAGAAATGGCGCCCACCTGCGAGGCGGCAAGCCTGCGGAGGTGGGCAATGACCCTGTCTTCAGAGGCGATGGCAGCCTCGAGTGTGTCAACACGCGCAGTAGCGTCGGCGATGGCAGAGGTTTCAGCGTGGAGAACGGCCTGAAGGCGGGCAACCTCCTTGCGCAACAGCTTCTGCACAAACTTGGGATCTGACGCCGGCGCTGTGCCGGCAAAGACCGAAGGCCGCAAGTCCTTGAACCGCCCGATGGCCTTGGAGAGCGCGGTCGAGCCGTCAGATTCTCCACAAGTCTCGCCGAGCCGCTTTCGCTGGCGCGTTGCCTCGGCCGAAGCCTGGAGCTTAGCTGAGATCCGGCGCATGATCTTGCCGGCAACCACCCGCTCGTTGCGGGTCGACTCGTGCGAGGCGACTACGTGCGAGGCCGAGAGGAGCCAGAGCCTCTGCTTTGGCCCGACCTTGAGGAACAGGTTCATCGAGTGGATGTGGTGGTGACGGACCGAGAAGACGCGGACATGGTTGGCAATGTCAAAGGCGAGCTTGTGAACTTTGTCGCGGAGGAACTCGTCCGACTCTCGGAGCGCCCACGGGACAGCGACAGACGGTGGGTTGCGGCCCTCGAAAACCTGCAGCCTGGTTGCGAGATCGACGTTGTCATCTTCAAACGCGTGGACGTTGCGGCGGCGCTCGAGGGTGGTGTCGAGGCCGGCGTAGGCGACTTTGATGGTCTCGTTGTGCACGCCGTGCGGATCGACAAACCGCTGCAGCACCATGTACTGGGTCATGGCCGACTCTTCAAAGGCCTCGTCAAACGACTCGGCGGTGAGGTACTTGACCGACATAAACGACTCGTCGCCGCCAACGTTGTGCCGGACCTTGGTGAGGGTGGCGAGCACAGGCCCGCGCCGGTACGAGGTCTCTCGCATGAGCGCCGCCCGCACAGTTGAGAGTCGGAGTCGGTCCTGCCGCTTCTTGAGAATGCGCCCGTCCTTGGACATGAAGAGCCACTCGGCGGGCGCGCCGTCGATAAACAGCACCGTGTCTGGAATGAGGACGCCAGGGCACGACTCGAGATCGTCGTTCTTGAGATAGACGTAGTGCAGAAAGTTGGGCACCATTCGCTGCGTCTCCATCCCGGCCAGCGAGTGGTACTCGACGTCGATGCAGGCAAAAGCCGAGTTGAGGGCGGTTGTCGACCCGCCACGCCCAAACTGGCCGCGGATCCGCGACTCAAAGGCGAGCGTCGTCTCGGACCTGCGCGAGATCAGCCCCTCGCCAGGCCTCGCCACATCGGCTGCTGTCTTGCGCTTTCGCCGCCGCCGCCGCCGCTGCCGTCCGCTACTTAAGCCACGGGCCGGCACGCCGTCGCGCCCGCCACCGTCGTCGTCGTCATCGGACCAAAGCGCGGAGCCCTGGCGGACCATCAGATAGTCGATCTGGCCAACCGAGCAGTTGAGCGCGTTTGGCGGCTGCAACCGCATGCCGCCGCCGTCGGCCGAGTACGCTGAGTCGTAGCCCGAGTACGCGTACGAGTACGAGTCGTTCGACCCATCGCCGGGCGCTGGCGTGAACGACACATGCCGCACCCTATCACGAGCCGTGTCTGTGATCCGCCGCATCGAGGCGTCTGACGAGCCCGAGCCCGAGCCTGAGCCTGAGCCCATACCTCCAGCCTCTGTCTCGAGTGTCATCCGTGACCCACGCTGCGAGAGTGAGCGAGTCCGCGGCGAACGGACAGCTGCCGAGCGTGGCCTCCGCGAGACCGGGCGCAGCCGCCGAGGAACCATGGCGAGCAGAGGAGGGCAAGGGGGGGGAGGGGGGGAGGAGGAGAGAGAGAGAGAGAGAGAGAGAGAGAAAAGCGAGAGGAGGCGTCAGACCAGCGAGTGGCTGCTTGCAGTTAGCCGCCGCTGTCGAGACAAGTGCGAAGTTTGGTCGTGGTTGGCCCTCGACCTCACACGGTGGTGACACGACCGTTGGCCGGCAGCCCGAGCGGCAGCCGCGGCTCGGCGCGACTGGCGGGCTCCGGGGCGGATGACTCGAGGGATGGGTCGACGAGGCGAAGAGGAAGCGTTGTTGGTGGATGGGTGGCTCGCCCGAGCATGGGCAGACGGTGGAGCGGCCGAGAGGTCGGCGTGGAGCGCGTCGATGTCGCCAAGGAAGCGCAGCGTGGCGCTGTCCGACTCGCTCCGGCAAGGGAGTGGCGAGCCTGTCGAGGCGGACGAGCGCAGGGCTGGGAACGGGCGCGGGACGCGACGTACCTGGCGGGAAAGCCGCCGGTGGAGGACAGCCGAGTGCAACTCAGCGGCGAGAAGGTCGTGGACCTCTTTGCGCATGGCAGCATCGAGGTCCTTGACCATCCGCTTCGCCCGTCGTGCCCGCTTTCGCTCGGTCTCGAGCTTGTTGGTCAGCTCGCACAACACGCCGCGATCGCGCGCAAAGTCCACAGGCCGAGGCCATGAGAAAGTTGCCTCCATACGCATCGGCGGATGATAGACAAGTAGCTGAAGGAGTATGGGGTTAGAGAAACAACAATAGCTGTGTGGCGTCGAGTGTTGTGGCGCAAAGAGGAAGAGATCGGGGCAGGAGTCCCGAGTGGGGGGTTTAGGAGCGGGGCGGGAAGCGGGGAGGCAAAGCAATGCTGCGTATAAATTAGTGTATTCTCCTCTTCACCTTCAACAGCCTCCATAGCTCAGTTCGGTAGAGCGACAGACTCTTAATCTGTCGGCCGTGGGTTCGAGCCCCACTGGGGGCTGATTTTTTTTGCCTCCCCGTCGACCCTCCTCCCAGCTTCATCACAATAGTCCGCTACCTTCCAGCGAGAGCGATAGCTGGCACAGTCTAGATGCAGTAGCAGCCAGTTGTGCAATGCGCAGGTATAAGTACGGGTGATCATGGGGTGAGAGGTTGATTACTCGCCGCAAGGTGCGCCCGAGATGGACGGAAAGCGGAGCAGCAGCCGGCGAGCCCAAGCCTCGCGGGCGAACCAAGGCACGGGGAGGAAGGAGGATGCCAAGGGAGGTGACACCTCACGTGGTGAAGCAGGACGGGTACCCGCGAGTTCACAGGGTAAGCACGGGAACATTAACGAAGAGGAGGAGGGGCCAGAGGGTGGGTGGTATGGTGGAAAGCAGTGGGGGGGGGGAGGGGGGCTGGCTTGGCGCGCGCGCCAGACGGCGTGTGGGGCTGGCGGGCGGGCGGGGGAAAAATGGGCGCGGAGAGCACGGTGGGCATGGGGAAGGACGAGGAACGGGGAGGGGGTACAGGGGGTGCGCAGGGGAGGCGAGAGCGAGGGAGAAGCTCACACCGGTACTGGGCACGTGTGGGCGACAGAGGCAGGAGGATGGACAGTGGAGCTGATGCGCTGCTCCAGACGGAGATGTTGGACCTTATTGCCGACTCGGGACTCGCCGAGCTGGCCAAGGACTCGGGCCTAGTCTCGGCCTCGGGCATGCTCAATACGCCCGGCTCCAGCCGTGGTCAATCGACTCAAGCACAGGATCCGCCCGCTTCTCGTACGTGATGCTGCCACCAGAGTGCCCCCCTTCCCCCCCCCCCCCCCTCCCTTCCCCCCTCCCCCTCCCCTTCCGCCGAGTGTGACTCACCTCCATCGTACTTGTGTATGGGCGCGGGTGATGGAACCATCAGTCGATCATATCAATCTGCCGATGCTGCCGCCGCTGGGCGGACTGCCGGGCTCGCCGCTTGTTGGCAGCGGGAAGAAGCGTGGGCGCGAGGGTGAGGATGAAGTGAGAGTCGGGCGGGGCTCACTGGAGGAGGTGGCAACGGCAGCGCTGGTGGCAAGCTCGCGGCGGGCGTCTGTGGCATCGACACCGACGCCTCGGCGGCGGAAGCGATCCTCATCCAAGGCGCCCGGCTCAACGGCCAAGAACGCCGGGCTGCGGCACTTTTCGATGCGTGTGTGCCAAAAGGTGCGGCAGAAGGGCCAGACGACGTACGACGAGGTGGCGACCGAGCTGGTCAACGAAATTGTGGCGGCCGAGGCGGCCGAGGGCAAGACCAACTCGAACCAGAAGAACATCCGGCGGCGGGTGTATGATGCGCTCAACGTGTTGATGGCGATGGACATCATCTCGCGCGAGAAAAAGGTCATCTCGTGGCTTGGTCTCCCGTCGAGCGAAGTCGGCGAGTGCGACCAGGTCCGCAAGCGCATTGCAGCGAGGACGGCGTCGATTGCCCAGAAGAAGCACCATCTGCAAGAGCTGTTGACCCAGGTGGTGACGCTTAACAACCTTGTCGAGCGCAACACCAATCGGCGGCGCAAGCTGCAGCGCAATCTTGCGGGCAACGCCGTGGCGTCCAGCATCCGGTCTGGAGGGCGGTCGACGGTTGCGCTCGACATGGGTCCCCTCTTCGCGTCGTCCCCGAACGAGTCACCGGTCTCGTCGCCACGGCGGTCGTCGCGGAGACGAGCGTCGTCGCCGGTGGCGGAGGAGCCGGTGGCGGAGAAGGGGGGGTGGCGGTGGTTGAGGACGCAGCGTCGCTTGTTGACGAGCTCGACGCCGGCTTTACGGCCGAAGACGATGCCGAGCAGAACCGGCTCTACCTCCCGTTCATTGTCGTCAACACACCACGTGACACGGTGATTGACTGCGAGATGGCGGTTGACCGCTCAGACTTTTTCTTCAACTTTTCCCAGCCATTTGAAATCCACGATGACAACGAGATTCTCAAGCGCATGGGCCTGCAGTTTCTCACCTCTCAAGTCCGCGACACGTACATTCCCAAGGAGCTGCAGAACTTTCTGCCGGCTTCGCTGGTAGTTGCCGATCCCGCACCGTCCGAGTGATCGCTTGGAGCGTCGACAACGTGCGGCTATTAACATCATCATCGGAAACAGCTACATCGAGTCCGAGTCTGACAGCGCAAATGACATGTTGCCTGCTGCCGCCGGAGCCGGCTCTGTAGCCGGCGCTCCGTCGGGCTCAGAGTCTGAGTCGGAAAGCACGTAGCCGGACTCGCCCCCGGTAGTCGGCGCTCTGGTCATCGGCGCTCCACCATCATCCGAGTCTGACTCGGAGAGCACATAGCCCGAGGCGCTGGAAGGTGGCGCAGGCTTCTGTCGCGGCGTCATCGGCGGCGACGGCGAGAGCGAGATGTCGAGGACCGACGGCGCCCGAGTCGACGGCGGCGAGAGCGGAGGCGACCGCGACCGCGACTGCGACAGCGACCGCGACCGGGTCATGCCACCCTGCTGCTCCGGCGACGAGCCTGCGACTGCCCGTGCGGCGTCCAGCTGGGCCTGCAGCGCGACAATGCAGGCCTCGAGCTGGCTGCGCTCAGCCTCGGCGCGCCCGGCACGCTGCTCGGCGACGTCAAGACGGGCCCGGAGGCTCTGGATTTCAGAGGCCGGCGCTGGAGACGGGGCAGCAGCCTCAGCGGCCGCCGCCTTGGTCGCCTCGCACTCGGCCTTGAGCTTGCGGATTTGGCCGGACAGCTGGTTTCTTGTCCGCCGGAGCGCATCGCGGGCCTTCTTCTCGGCCGCTTTGCTTGCCGCTTGATGCTGGCTGAGCTTGGAAGTGAGGGCGTCATACTGCTTGCGCCCGGCTGCAAGCTTGTCTTTGAGCCGGCCAACAGCGGTCATCAAGTCGCGCTTGTCTTGCTTGAGGGTGAGGAGCGTCAGCGACTCTTGCGACGATTGGGCGGCGGCAAGGGCTTTGGCCAGATTACTGCTCTGGCGCTTTTCGCGGACAAGAGCAGCGCGGAGCTCGCGAACCCTGGCACGAGCCTTTTTGTACTCTTCCTGTGCCCGCCACTTGATCCTCGTGTGCTCGCGAAGGAGCGAGCGCTGCCACTCATCAAGCGCAGCCGCGAGCTGGTCGTCGGTCTCGATCTGCCCGCCACAAGATGGGGCCCGTGCATGAGCAGCCTTCAGGAGTGCAACTGCCTCCTGCGGCTCGAGGCCTACTTGAGCCAGCCTACGGCGTGCCAGCTCGCGTGCCTTCATCACCATCAGCTCGCCGACCAGTTCGCGGTTGGCCGCCTCTTGCCGCTCTAGAAGCAACCGCGAGCGCGTGAGTTTGCGGGCGAGCTCAGATGGCGCGCTCCGCAGCTTGCTCCCACTCTTACCTCCATGTACGTTTTCCTCGTTGGCAACCATGGTGAGAATGCCATCGCGAAGCTCATCGAGCACGTCATAAAGCTCTGCCAGCTCGTCGAGCGAAGCGTGAGACGACGACATCGACAGGTCGTGCGCAGCCGTAGTGCTGTGCTGTGGCTTGGAAGCAGGCGCAGCTAGAGGCTCCGGCTCAAGATCCTCGCTTTGCAGTGCCGTCGACGGTGTCATGAACACAAGATTGCGGGCGAGGGGAGCGCTTCCGTGGCTGCCATCGCTGGCAGGAGTGGCCGGAGGCAGCGACTCGTCAAGCGCGAGGCTGTCATCGACGGCCGACAAGGGCGAGAGGGTGACGTCGAGCGGAGACGTCAAAGCTGGCGGAGGAAGTGTGTCGTCAAGCACCAGCGAGTCATCGTCAGTGTCGTCTGCCGGTGGCAGCGTGTCGTCCATCGGCGGCAGTGTCTCGTCGAGCTCCGGCTGGAGGGAATCGTCGCCGGCATTGGGCTCGACGGAAATGAGCGGCGCAGAGACGGCTGCGACTGCGGCAGCCATAGAGTCGAAATCGAGCGAATGAGTGGGAACCGGCTCGGGCACGAGCGCAGGCGCGGGCGCATGTGTGAGAGCGGGTCGAGGTGCAGGCGCCGACGCGGGCGGAGGGGCGGATACAGGCGCAGGCGCTGGATCGAGCAGTGGTTGGGCGGGCGCCGGCGATGGCGGGACATGCGACGGCGGCTCAATGCCTGCCGAGCGCATGGCGTCGACGAGCGAAGGTGTTGGTGGGAGGGCGAGGTCAAAGTCGTCGAGGCCGGCACCGAGGCCGAAGCCGTCGACTTCGTCACCGCTGCGGGAGTCACCCGAGTCCGACGGCAGCGCAAAGAGCTCGCCCGTGTTGATAGTCTCCACAGACTCGCTGTCCGACATGGTGCGGGTGCGTGTCGGGTGGGCGCGTGGGCGGGGTGAGGTGGCTCTCGATCCAGCAAGTTGCCACGGGTGGTTGGCGCCAAATCAAGTGAAGCCATGCGGTGGCACCGGCGGTTTGCGTGGCAGGGGGGGAGGGGGGAGGGTCGCCTTTCATGCCAAAAAAAAGATCAAATCATCAGCCCCCAGTGGGGCTCGAACCCACGGCCGACAGATTAAGAGTCTGTCGCTCTACCGAACTGAGCTATGGAGGCAATTAATGATGATTTGAAAAAGAAGCAGCCCCCAGTGGGGCTCGAACCCACGGCCGACAGATTAAGAGTCTGTCGCTCTACCGAACTGAGCTATGGAGGCTGTTGAGTTGGAGCGGTGAAAGTCTACATTTTTACTAGTACATTGCTTTGTAAGCTGAGAACAATGGATCGACCTGCCATGACTCGCCTACGGAGAACGTGGCGCCCGTCGTCGAGCGCGTCGTGCGCCGGACGCGCAGCAGGCGCAGGCAGCGCCGTGAGCGTGGTCGCTCTTACGCCCGGACCGCGGGCGCTGGCGCTGGCCACCTGGGCGGGAGCGATGACGCGAGGTGCTGGATGCCTGGATGCCTGTCCGCACGCCTCAGCAGCAAAGAGGCGACGGCAGGTCTCAAAGCGAAGCCTAGCTAGCTACGGATAGAAGATGGTGGGATCGGCGTCGTCTCCACTTGGCAGGCCATTGCGGATGGTGTCGGCGGCGACGGTGATGGTGCTCGCCAACTCATCAACAACCTTGCCGATGATCGACTTGCTTGCGGCGGTGGGCGAGGTTGGAGAGAGAAGCGTCGGTGCCGAGTCTGACAGCGGCGACGACGGGGCGCTGCTCGACGCGCCGCCACTGTCGCCGCCGTCGCCAGAGGTGTCGAGACTGAGGTTCCAGTCTGTGTGCGGCGACGAGGCAGCAAAGATGGCCTGCGCCTCGATGCCGTCGAGAACACCATGGATCCAGGCTGGATCCTTCATGGCGCCAGCAGCAGTCGAGCCGAGATGCGCCGAGTCAACCTTTGGCATGTGTTCGTTGCCAAGCGCGTCGACGACGGCCCGTGAGCCCAGGCCTGAGCCCAGGCCGGGGCCCGGAGCCCATCCGGCTCCGCCGGGTCCTGCACCAATGCGGCCGTTGCGGCCTCCGATGTTCGCAGCTTGAGCCATGACGTGATCTTGTTCTCTTACCTCTGTGTCGAGTCGAGTGTGGCGGCGTTGAGCGCGAGAGAGTTCTTCACGAACAATCCGCCTTTTGACTCCTTCCCCGTGGCGCCCGGACTTATCGGCCTTCTGCGCCGACCCCTCTGCATCCATTAGTAGCCGGCGGTGGGAGAAGTATGCCACACTGGTAGAGAGGGCATGCAGAGTGCGTGATGACGGTGTCGTTTCCCGTGCTTGTGGAGCCTGGCGTGGCGTTTGCGCGCGGAGGATGGGTTCAGGTGCCCAGGCCCGATCAGCAACCTGCCACGGGCCACGGCATGCCAGTCGGCAATCTCACCTGTTGGCACTCTCAACAGACATCAGCTCCCTATGATGTTGGCATCGGCTGTGCTACCAGCGTCGGTGGCCTGGGCAGCAGCCGGCGACGAGAGCGGATGGCGGCACCCGGGCTCATCGCCGCAGGCAACGTACAGGTGTCCCTCGCGCAGCTCGTCGGTCCGCTCCACAGCCCTGCCCGAGACGGCGTCCACAAGGCGGACAACAGTTCCGGTGATACACCAGCGACCAGCAGTGGTGAGGCCGACAAGGACGTCCGCCAGCGCAGCACCACCGTCAACAAAGACCACCTCGCCGTCGTCGGCAGCGTCGCCGTCCCGGACAAGGCGGACAGCAGGCATAGCGCTTCCTCCAGCAACCGACCAACAACAAGATTGGCTGCGGTGTGGCTGGCTACCGCACAGTATGTCTGCGGGCGTAGCGTGAGGTGAAGTGGTGTTCCTCTGGAGACGGAGCCTGCTGTTTCCTGCCAACGGCGTGGCGCGCCAACTGCTCTCAGGCACCCCGACTGATACACGGGGGAGGGGCCATGTTACTCGTCATCCTCACTGTCAGCAACACGCATGAGCATCCGCTTGGCGGCCTCGTAGATGCCAAAGAAGACAAAGCCGCCGATAGAGATCCACATGACCCGCGGCTGGATGCCGGCAAAGAGGGCACGGGCGCCCTCGTCGCGGGCAATGGTACGGATGGTTGATATCGTCGACGGAGGGCCAGCCGCGGACGCCTCGGCGAGCATAATGCGGGTCTTGGCCACGTCAAGCGGGGTGGTGATAGCAGCGGCAATGCCACCGGCCACAGAGCCGCATGCTGCTGCCTCAACTGACGACGGCGCGGACCGGTCGCCCACGGCGGCGAGCCGGACCTTGAACGCCTCGTAGAGCGGAAACTGGATAAAGGCAAACGGGATCTCGCGCATGACCGTTGTGCCGTAGCCGCGGAAAAAGGCGCGGATGCCCTCGGCCTTCCACGCAGCCCGCGCAGCGTCGACCAGTCGATCGTACTGCCGCGTCTGCAGCCGCTGCTTCATCACCTCGGTAGGGACCCGGACGCAGCACGCTGCCACTTCGCCCAGCGATGCTGCCGTCATGTGGGTCACTGGCCCGCCGCCTAGCAGCGGCGTAAGATGGCTTTTTGCCGTCTCGTACGTGGTGAAGAACAGCGCGGCGCCCGGCGCAGACCCGATGACCGCCGACGATAGCCCGCGGTACACCCCCGAGAACCCGCCCGCCGCCCGGAAGCCCTCCTTGCTCTGCAGCCTCGTCTTGATCGTGTCGATCGGATACAGCGCCACGTCCACGCCTGTCCCAGCCATCCCCCCGGCCTATCCCACGATGTGCTCGTCAGTTCCGGCTGCCGCTCCCTACCGCTGCCGCCCCCCCCCCCCCTCCCCCCACCCACCCCCCCATACAATCACAACCACTGAAATCCTGGAGCGCCCGGGAAAGGAACTTCTGGCCGATTGTGTCCACCTGGCTGCTGCCCTCTTCCCGCGCTGCAGAGATGGGTCCCCCCCGTCGACGGAGACACT